TCAATCTTAAAGTACTTTTTGTCATTCTGAGACTAGCGTATTGTTTAAGGATTAAAGGGAGAGTAAGAAATTTACCCGACGTCAACTAGTTCTAATCAAATCCAACATTGTGATCCAAAAGCAAAAAAGAAGCGAGTTTATAGGAAAAAAGAAGTGTGTGGTACGTTGTATCATTGTACTCTATCCTGTTAAATTAGAACATGATTTATAATGAAGACTTAATTAATTCCATTAATCGATTTGAAAATAAAAAGTTGATTAGTTTGTCGAGTATGGATTTAGATAATAGTGATAAATTACTGATAATTGTAGAATTAGTATTAATAAATGTGAATGAGGAATAGTATCGCATTTATTTATTTATTGAGACGCAAATCTTGACATTATATATATTTATAATGTTAGTGATCATGCTGCACGTACTCTTGTACCAATTGTTTCTATCTTTGTCTAGGACATAGTAATCCTAACGAAAGCAGCATCCAGGAACGCTTTGCGACAAAAGGATTGGACAATGTTGTTTGCATTCAAGCGTCTAACTTAGTTAATAAGAAATAAAGGTGCAACGAAATTGTGTTCTCCCCCTTTGCAATAATAGAGAGTCTCCGTCATAACTTTTGTAATACGTTAAGTGGATCATGGGTTCCACTCATTATTGACAACCTATCATATGTCCACATCTGACAGTTCTCTCTAGTGTAGTCTCTATGTTCTTTCCTTTTCAAAAACAAATTTCAAGTTGAATGTGCTCTAATTTATAAATGGCGTGGCTCAAAAAGAAGGAAAGAACAAGCAAATCTTTTTGCCTTTTTAAAAAATTAAAAACCTTGTCGGGTTTTTTATTAGAATAAATCATATAACAAAAATATTTAATTTTCGCAAAGATAGGATTTGAAATCTATTTTTTTAAAGATGGCATAGTCTTGAAAGAAAAATTTCTGTTTTTTCACTGCAAACTCTTGAGAAATTTCTTTCCTTATTATATTAATTAATAAAAAAATAGAAATGTCACCTTTGTTTTTGATAAAAATTGAAAGTTCTTCTAAATTATATAAGGGTCCCATTTTTCTCGTATTGTCGGAAAGAAATTATTTTATGCAAAAAAAAAAATCACTATATATTACGAGTAATATATACTTATAAGTTATAGGGTTTGGTATTTGTCATTTTAAATGACATAAGTTATGTCATTTTAAGAGAGAGATAGACACAAGAAATAAAAATTATGGGGGAGAGAAAGTGGGTAATTTTTTTTTAATTTAAATTTTAAATAAAAAAAATTTTCTTGTGTCTATCTCTCTCTTAAAATGATATAATTTTATATCATTTAAAATGATAAACACTTTTTCCTAAGTTATAATGGTAAAATTATTTTTTTTCTCACCGCCACCTCAGCCGAGAAAATCTGAGGAGAAAGAAAGAAAAATAACTTTAATATTATAATTATGTACTATTTATAATATATAATTTATTTATTTTTTGTAGGATAGATTTTTTTCCCCAATGATTTCCGACCATATAAAGTAATGTTTAGATTACTGGGCTTTGACACTTGCACTCTGCCTTGTTGTGGACCTTTGTTCGTTGCTGCGCAAAACACATTAAAATGGCCCAAATGGAAAGAAAAAGAATTGCTCGGTCACATGTGTAGGATTATAGGGATGAGACTTTAAGGCTGCGCATGACAACCATTCTAATTTCTGGTACTGTTTCTGAAAAAAATGATTTTTTTCTATTTTTGTGCTTTGGAAGAGTTCTGAGAATTAGAATTACGTTTGTTAACATATTTTATTTTTCCTCCGAGAATTAAAATTACGTTTGTTAACACAATTTCTTTTTTCATTCTGAGAATTAGAATTTCATTTGTATTGGGTTGCTGTATTATAAGAAATTGCAGGTTTGGAATTGTTTACCAATAACAACATCTGGCAATTCACGGTGAACGAAAAGGATTACCTAGGTAACTCAATTTCTGTCCAAAATGGGTACCCATAAACCTGCAAAAACAGCAATAACAGTTACTTCATTAGGAAACAGTGTTCCAAGAAGTTAAATTCCTCACAGGCATTTTATCAAACAGCATCCTGGCAGTTCCCATATCACCAAACATAGAATACATTGAAAGGAGAGAATTGCCCACATAAATATCTGACTCCAACCCATCAACCAACACCAAAGCATGAACCTTCCTACCCAATTCATAAACCAAAAGGTCACCACACGCCTTGAGAACAGATGGAGAAAACAAGAGAGATAGAAAAAACATAGGACCAAAAGAAGACCAGAGGGACGAATACCAAGTGGGAGACAGAATAACCATTCAAAAGGGGTTGTTCTGGTACGCTGCCATAGTCAGTGAGTGGGTGAGAGTGTGAGAGAAAACTGATTCTCTTTTTGTGCTCAGAATTAGAAAAGCAAAAAAAAATTGATTTTTTTTTTGTTCCCCAGCATAAAAAAAAAAACGGTTCATCCCTGGAACAAAAAAATAAACCGATTTTATCAAACGCAATTCTCATCCATTTTTGTTCCCGGGAACAGAAATTAAAAAAAAAAACTCATTCCGGGAAGGTTGTCATGCACACCCTAAACCAAGTAATAAGTTCATTGGGGATTGAAATGAATAATCATTCTTATTTTATAATTAGGCATTTTGTATTAAGGATTGTTTTTTGAAATAAAATTACAAGAATACAATAGTTATCTATGGCATAAAAAGAAAGAAGCAATCTTAACAAACAACCACTGGTTTAAGGAATTTGTTCTCCTTATTTAGAGATGTTGAGTTTAGTGAAACAAAATAATTGTTGAGAGTTACCTCTAGTATGGGTGCAAATAATTTTCATTAACATCTCTAAATGTGAGAGAGTTAATCCCTACCTCCCTCTATCTTGCACTTCTATATACAGCTTTTTCAGTTTGTTATATTGATGATGGTAGGTGTAATGTATATCCCAATTCCCAACAACTGGGTGGAACTGCGGAGAGCTTCCTAGCCATCCAATTAATTATTACAAGCTTTAGTTGGACACCTGTTTTATTAAAAATTGTAGTGTTAAAAATGCAGGCTAGTTCATGTTTAGTTAGTATTATATAAAAAAAATTAGAAAAACAGATTATTCTTACACTTATTCTTAATTACTGATCCATTTATATCTAATAGTTTATATAATTCAACAATTAGACCGTTAAATATAAATAAAATCAATAACCAAAATTGAATATGTAATTTATACTAATATAATATGATCTTGACCGTTAAAAAAAAATATTTTTTTGTACGGTTTAGATTTACAATTGGAAAGGTATATAATATTTCCATGATTAGTGGATATAATTCAATGATATCATGCGTGAATGTATCACTTTGTGTGTAGAATCTTAATGAATTACCCATTTTTTTTAAGACTCTTGTCCTTTTGTTTATGGATCCCTTTTATTTCCCATCAAACTAAAGATACGTCGGCTAGTGCTGCACGCTCGCAATAAAAAAGTCGTCCACTATGTCAAATGCTGAAAACACACACTGCTCATGTCCAAAACCTTAAAGAGGGAAATATAAGAGAATGCTCATTTGTTTCATTTATTTAATTTTAATTTTTTTTCTTTTGTATCTCGTGCAGTATATATACTGTAAGTAAACTTTTCTCAAATTTGTAGTTGATATCAGATTTGTAAATATGACTACTATTTTTTTAAAAAAAGAAAAAAACTGTAGATGGTTGTGATTTATAACTAAAATCAGTTCAATAAATCAAATTGGATGATATATATGTAAAGTAGAGCGTAAGATATTCAAAATTTGAATACAATACGTATAGTGTATTATTTAGCCAATTTTTTGTATCATAAATTATGAATCGTAAATAATTATAAGATACAAAATATATTAAAAAATAATTTTAAAATATATAATATACTTAATAATTAATATCATATAAATTCAAATTCCAAAAAAAATTTATATTACAATATGAGGTCTTTTTCTCTTATTATTCTTGTTAGCAATATCATTTCATTTATCAAGCCAGTTGACATCATCTTACGTTTGTATGATGCTGCCTTTATTTTTATCATTCATGTTGGCTTTAATATTTTGAGGAATTAAAAAATAAAAATATACATAACAAAATATATATTTATTTAATTATTTTCTTTATTAATATAATTTTTTTAGATTGATTTTTGAATTTAAATTACAAACCAAATCTGTATTTTCTTTTCCTTATTAATAATAATTTTTGTAGATTTTATTTTGAATTTATATCACGAATCAAATCTTTATTTTTTTATATTAAAAATTATAATTTTTTAATTGATTTTCGTATAGTACGATACACTATACAGTACCGTATCGTATGATACAATATCGTATCGTTCGATACAACTCCCTTTTCGATACATCCCTTGATATGTATTGCTAAGCTTGTGAATTGTATCGTATCGCTATCGTATCGTATAAGACTAATAACTATGTTCATAATACATACTTTTTTCTATAATATTTTTTTCAAGGGTTGAGTGTGTCCTTTTAATTTTTTGAACTATGTATTACGGGTAGTACATAATTATAATATGAAAAGTTACTCTCTTTTTTTCTCCATGTCAATTGAAGTGACTGAGGAGAGAGATTTTTTTTTCTTCATATTATAACTATATACTGCGTGTAGTATATAGTATTAAAAATTAAAAAGACACAACTTGTGTCCTTTAAAAGGACAAACTTTTTTCCTTTTTTTCAATTTAATTGTAGAATATATTTTTTATCACATACTTAAAATTAGTCAATATAATCAACCTAGTGACAATAAAAAGTTTAAACTTTTTTCTAATTTTAATGTGATCCAATTAAACTAAACCTAGTTATGCCTTTAAAATCGGTTGGGTTCATGGATCTTGATTAGTTGTTAAAACGCTACACATAACCTTGATTAGTGACTACATGCAATAGTGTGTATATTGTCCTCCTCGGTTCTTGTGCATTCGCAACAACTAACAAGGATATGGCAAGTAGTGCTGTTTGTTCCTCTTCATTTGTTGCATTTTCTCCCAAAAAGTATGATGTTTTTGTAAGCTTTAGAGGAGAGGACACACGCAGCAATTTCACTAGTCATCTTATCACTGCCTTGTGTCAAAGATCAATCAAAACCTTCGTAGACTACAAGCTTGAGAGAGGAGAGGAGATTTCACAAGCACTCACCGATGCAATTGAGGACTCAAATGTGTCCCTGATTGTCTTCTCAGAAAACTTTGCTTCCTCAAAATGGTGCTTGGAGGAACTCACCAAGATACTCGAATGTAAGAGGAATCAGGGACAAGTTGTTATACCTGTGTTCTATAAAGTTGACCCTTCACATGTCCGAAAGCATACTATGAAGCAAGCATTCGCAAAACATGAGCAAGATTCAGCTGCTCTCAAAGTGAACAAGTGGAAGGCTTCTCTCACTGAAGCAGCCAATTTAGCTGGCTGGGACTCCCGGACCTATAGGTAAGTATATATACCTTTCTCAAAATAATGAAAAACTAAAACTTCTCAAAGATAATTATGCGTATTTAATTTTTTTTTTCAAACCTATATATGTTACTAGTTGCCATATATTAGTGTCGATTTCCAAAATACTATTACTGTTCACATGATCGATGGCAGTTGTATTTTAACATAGATAAATCAAAAAGGCAATTGTTACAATTCTTGGTATAGAGCTACCAAGAATCACCCCAGAAAACCGACACACAGAAACGGAAAACATAAAGAACAACACCAGAAATTTATACTTGGTTCAGAAATTCTTGTAAAAGAATTTCCTACATCCAAGTTGGCCAGTGAGGGTCAAACGCCCTCTAGCATGCACTCTTATTCAGAAACAGATAATAGGTACAAAGAGTTCAAGATACTAAACTTGTAACTCTAACAATACAGCATATACAAGGCATATAACAGAGAAAGAAAAACAGAACTACAAAGATACATCACATGTACACTATCACAGTACATATAAAAACAAGAACTTGCAAACTAAAGACGTGTAAAGGAAAGGTTTCACCGATCATGCATCCAGCTCCACCAAAACCGTGGATTACTCCATGGGAGCTCACAACCTCTTCTGCAACCAAGAAAAGCTCCACGATGCAACACCTCCTCACCAACGTTTGCAAGAATCTCCAGAAAGTAAACCGATCAAACTATGTATCTTTGTAATAGGAACAACTTTCTCAACAACCTTGTGATGAGATTCACAAGTTTTCACACTCAAATCGTCCTCACAGGTTTTTGACACAAACCCTAAGTTTCCCTTTCTTGTTCAGAGAAAAAGAAAGAACCGAGAGAGAGAGAGAGAGAGAGAGAGAGAGAGAGAGGAATCACAAATTGAATGCCACGTTATGCCTGAAAAATCTGAGCCTCAGCGTTAAATGAAAGCATAGGTATTATAATATCAACCAATTTCAACTTAACCAAAAACGGCAGCGTATTTGCAATGCAGCTGATATAACAAATATCAATGTATGTGGGCCTTACCAATAAACACAGTAGGATATATTTTAGGCCCAATAGCAAACAAACAGGTACCACATGGTTTAGAAAATACAGTTTAACAAATCTCCACCTATTTACTAAACATACAGCAGAACACAGTGCACACCAGAGTTTTCTGACGTTTAACCCAAGGCCTATGCTATGCATGCAATTTAGGGAGGTTTTATTTTTAACAAATTTAGAGCCTCCCTAAATTTACTAAGAGGAACAGTCTTAGTCAAAATATCTGCAGGATTAATTTCAGTTGGTATTTTATTTACACTAACCTGACCATTACTAATTATTTCCCTTATGAAATGCAACCTAACATCTATATGCTTGGTCCTTTCATGGTATGCACCATTTTTGGACAGGTGCATGGCAGATTGAGAATCAGAAAATACCTTAGGAGGGTCCTTACCTAGACCCAACTCAGAGACAATTCCATGTAGCCACATTGCCTCCTTGACAGCTTCTGTGAGAGCCACATACTCTGCTTCAGTTGTGGAGAGTGCCACAATGTGTTGCAAGCTTGCTTTCCAGCTCACCACATTTCCTCCCACACAGAAAACAAAACCAGTTAGAGATCTTCTTTTGTCAAGATCAGCAGCATAGTCAGAATCACAATAACCAGTAATATCACAATTAACTGAGTTTTGAGCAGTATAATGAATGCAGCAATCAACAGAGCCACTAAGGTATCTAAGCAACCATTTCACAGCATTCCAATGTTCCTTAGATGGTTTACTCATGTATCTACTTACTACACTAACACCATAAGCAATATCAAGCCTAGATCCTATCATGGCATACATTAGGCATCCAACAACATTAGAATATGGAATGTTGCACATAAAAGTAGCCTCATCCGAGGCTAACTCACCATCTACAGCTTTTAACCTGAAGTGACCAGCAAGGGGAACACTTACAGGTTTTGCCAGGTACATGTCAAAGGTCTTTAAGACCTTTTTCACATACTCAGATTGAGAGAGAGTCAATATCCTCTCATCTCTTTTCCTTGTAATGTCCATGCCAAGTATCCTTTTGGCTGGACCAAGGAACTTCATCTCAAATTCCTTTTTCAACAATGATTTCAGATTATTAATTTCATTTATGTCCTTAGATGCAATTAACATGTCATCAACATAAATCAACAAGTAGATAAAACAGTCATCATGCAGTTGTTTAAAGTACACACAATGATCAAAACTACTCCTATTAAAGCCTTTGGACAAAACAAAGTCATCGAATCTCTTATACCACTGCCTAGGGGCTTGTTTTAACCCATAAAGGGACCTTTTCAAAAGGCACACTTTGTTCTCAGCCCCCTTTTTTATAAACCCTTCGGGTTGCTCCATGAATATGAGCTCTTCAAGGCTGCCATGCAAGAAGGCAGTCTTGACATCCAATTGTTCCAATTCTAAATCATGAATTGCAACAACTGAAAGTATGAGCCTAATTGAAACATGTTTCACAACAGGGGAGAATATTTCATTGTAATCAACCCCCTCAACTTGTGAAAAACCCTTAGCAACAACCCTTGCCTTAAACCTGTCAGCTTCAACACCTGGGATTTCTGGCTTCCTTTTAAAAATCCATTTGCATCCAATCACCTTCTTGTTCTTTGGATGCTCCACCAAAACCCAAGTCTTATTTTTCTCAAGAGACTCCATCTCTTCCTTCATGGCTTTTAGCCAATGAATTTTAGAATCCAGCCTCATAGCCTCTTGGTATGAGCTGGGTTCATTAAACTCCAGCACATCTCCAACTTGGAGTGCAAATGCTATGACATCTGCATGTGCAAAACGACTTGGAGGTCTTATATTCCTCCTAGTCCTATCTCTGGATAGAAAATAATCCTCTAGATTATCTCTATCCAGTTCCACATCATGCTCCTCAATGGGAATGTCATTCCCATCATCTTGAACTTCAGCAACAGTGTGCTGTAGTTCATTTTCAGCCACATTAGGTTGCTGCCCAGTGTTGTTGGGCAGCTCCACCTCCAACTCAACAGTCCTAGGAGGATGCTCTTTGTCACTCAGTTTGGATATGTCTTTATAGAATGTGTTTTCTTCGAAAATCACATCTCTACTTATGACACACTTCCTTTCAGCTATGAGCCATAGCTTATATCCCTTAACACCTGAAGGATAACCAACAAAGACAGATTTAACAGCTCTAGGACTCAACTTATCTTGTTTTACATGCATGTATGCAAGACAACCAAATGGTTTTAAGTGTCCTAGACTTGGTGGCTTACTAGACCAAAGCTCCATAGGGGTTTTAAGACCTATAACTGTGGATGGGCTCCTATTTATAAGGTAACAGGCTGTGGAAACAGCCTCAGCCCAAAAAGATTTTGGGAGACCAGATTCAGCCAGCATACATCTGACCTTATTTAGGATGGTTCTATTCATCCTTTCAGCCACCCCATTTTGTTGGGGTGTTTCAGCACAGGTTCTGGGCCTCTTAATACCATGCTCATTGCAAAAATCAAAAAATTGATTATTGCAAAACTCAAGCCCATTATCAGTCCTTAGGACCTTGACTTTCTTATCAGTTTCATTCTCTACAAGGGTCTTCCAATTCTTGAAGCTATCAAAGGCTTGATCCTTTTGCTTCAAGAACATGGTCCATACTCTTCTAGAATATGAATCCACAATAGAAAGGAAGTAATGGCAACCAGAGAGAGAAGGGGGAACATTAGGAGATCCCCACAAATCAGAGTGTATGTAATCAAGGACTGATTTAGAAAAATTTGAAGAACTAGGAAAGGGTAACTTGTGTGTTTTCCCTAAAATGCAATTTTCACAGAAATCAACACAAGTTACTTTCTTAGGACTTAAAATACCTTGTTTACATAATTCAGACAGACCCTGGTTGCTGATATGACCCATTCTCTTATGCCAGAGAACAGATTCATCATCCTTGGCTGCTGTTATACAGCTTTAGGATGAAACAGCATGACCCTGTAATATGTACATGCCATTAATTAACCTTCCTTCCATTAGAATCTCACTACCCTTAATTAAGAACAGTGAGTGAACCTTGCTCACTCTTGAATAACAGCCCACTTGAGTCAAGCATACCTAGAGAAATTAAATTTCTCCTCAAGTCAGGGACACACCTCACTTCTTTGAGGATTTTATGGCTGCCATCAGCCATTAGAAACTTGACAGCCCGAATCCCTTCTATTTGACAGATCTGGTCATTCCCCATAAGGACCTTTCCACCCTTTTGGAACCTTAAACCAGCAAGCCACTCCTTCCTAGGAGTAATGTGAAATGTGCAACCTGAATCCATAACCCATTCAGCCTCAAAGCCCTTATTAGACACCATAAGGACTTCAGCACCCTCACACCCACTAAGTAAATTTGCATACTCAGTTTTAGTTGCTGCCTTTTCAGCTCCCTTATTATTTTCAGGGCAATTCTTCTTAATATGCCCTTCTTTATGACACAACCAGCAGGTAAGTTTACCTTTTGGCTGCTCCTTATTTTTATTACCTTGTGTGTTCTGGTTAGGTTGGGATACATTATTGTTTCCCTTCCATTTATTTTTAAATTTCCCTTTCTTGTTCCCTTTTCCCTTCACAACCAGCCCCTCAGCATGAGACTTTTTATGGGAGAGTATTTCAACCTCCCTTGCTTTCAAAGCTTCAGTTATCTCATCTAAGTCCATTCCCCCTTTGCTATATTTTATAGCATCTTTTACACCCCTATAAGAATCTGGAACAGAATTCAAGAGGATCAAAATTTGATCCTCATTTGAGGCAGTTGCCCCAGCATTATCCAGATCTAAGGTGAGTTTGTTAAACTCATCAAGATTGTCCTCCAGGCACTTGGAAGGATCCATCTTGAAGGAAAAGAATTTCTCCTTCAAAAACATCTTGTTTGGGGCAAATTTAGTTTGATAGAGAGCCTTAAGCTTTTCCCAAAGCTCTCTAGGATTAGTTATCTTACAAACACGCCTAAGGAC